ATTAGTAAAATGTAGATAAATCTAAATAGATATTGATTATAAGAAGCAACATCATAATAGTGATTGATTTTGTGGTTATACAATAGGATGAAATTAAAACAAAATGGAGGAGATCATTGGCTTAGAGTGTTCTAAAGTCTTTCTATTCTTTGGTAGGTAGATAGATTTGTTAACTTTAGATTTTGAAAGTCACATGTGCATGATCAAGTTGTAAGTATCACCACTAACAGAAATGAACTGTATAATTTTCAAACCAATAAATTGCTCATAAAAAGCATTGTGTTCTAGTGCGGTTGACCAAGTATTTCACAGCACCAGAGCCGACGTTCTTCTACCTGTTTTATAAAAGATCCTTCCCATCCTCCAAGCAGACTTAGAGGTTTTCTCCTCTCTGCTCTTGGGTATCTTGGTCAACTCTTTAGAGCAAGTGTAATGGCCAATTTCTTGGGTCCATTTCCTGTTCCTCATCATCATTGTGTCCCAGTGCCTGGCATATACCAGGCACTCTGATGTTTTAAGAAGGAATGGCTATGACTTGCTCAAGGTCACACAGCTCTCAAGTGGCAGATAAAAAACAGGGACCCAGATTTTTGCTCTTCCAGGTTTTTTCTTTTCTTTGAAACAATCTGAAAAAAAAAATTGTATATTAAAAAAAAAAAGTTGTGTTTCATGAACCCAGTAGCTGCTTGATTAAAGCAAAAAGAAATTGCTCGGAGATGAAAAGCAAATGAAGAGAAGGAAATTTCATACCAGTAACCGTTGTCAGTCTATTGTCAAAAAAAAAAAAAAAAAAAAAAAAAATCCACACTTTGCGGATTGTGCTAGTGATGGAGCCATGTCCCAGAACAGGCTTTTGGAATGCCTGCCTTTTCCAGGGAAAACTTGACCACATTCACCTCAAGGTGGTCTCTACTGGGGCATGATTCTAGGGAACTGAGAAGACCCTCACTCACCAGCTTATCACTGCTAGGAACTAAAACCTTCGAATATCCCTTGTTGCAATACAATATGCCTCAGGAACCTACTGGTGATCTGCTAAAGGGGTGGAAGGTGGAAGGGCTGAGAACTTCCTCATGGAAGATTCTGCATTGAAATAGCAAGGAAGGAAAAGTAATTGAAGGGAGAGTAGAGAAGCAAAATGGTGAAGATAGCAAATGCTTGGAGCTGGTTGTTTTCAGATTTTCAGCCTCAGTAACCCATATTTTAAAAGGTGAAACCACATTTGAACTTCCCTTATCTCACAGCAAGATTGAAGACTCAGGAGGAAGTGGATCTTTTGAGATTCTTTGACTAGCACAGATGACTGCATTAGAGTCTCTGAAATGCAAAACTATGTGATCCATGTGATATTTTTTCCAATCCTTTCTTATGAGTTGCAGAGCCAAGAGAAGCAGATGGAGAAGGAAAATTATCCCTAAGTAAGCTTTCCTTCAAGAGTAGAAAGGTAAGAGATGCCAGTAAAGGGAGGAAGGAATGAGGGCAGGCAGCTCTGGACAGGAGGGAAAGGTAGGAGCTGAGGGTGGGTTTAGTTTGGGTTCATGTCTAAATTTACTAAGCATCCAGGCACGGTGGCTCACATCTGTAATCCCAGCACTTTGGGAAGCCAAGGCAGGAGAATCACCCAGGAGTCCAAGACCAGCCAGGGCAACACAGCGAGGCCCCATCTCTATTTCTAAAAAATATGTATATTTTAAAAATTTTTAAATAATAAACTTACTGATGTCAGAACCATGTGATATCTAGGCATATGCCTTTGGCAAGAGGATTAAAATTCTTTTTCTGAGACGGAGTTTTGCTCTTGTCACCTAGGCTGGAGTGCAATGGCATGATCTCAGCTCATTGCAACCTGTGCCTCCCGGGTTCAAGTGATTCTCCTACCTCAGCCTCCCAAGTAACTGGGATTACAGGTGCCCACCACCATGCCCAGCTAATGTTTTTGTATTTAGTAGAGACAGGGTTTCACCATATTAGCCAGGCTGGTCTCAAACTCCTGACCTCAGGCTATTGCCCACCTCGGCCTCCCAAAGTGCTGGGGTTACAGGCATGAGCCACCCTTCATGGCCTAAAATTCTTAAATATAGCCTGTTTCATCCACTTAAACAATCCTTTCTCTCCTTTACCCGTCTCCCATATAAAGAAACACCAGAAAGAAAACATGTTCTGCAGAAAGAGAGAGAGAGAGAATGTGTTTATTGTGTTTTCAAGAGTGGACTGAGGAATTTTGGCAGCAGGAATATGTAACATTTCTGCTGCAGTGGAGTGACTAGGGTTAACTTTTTACTTCAGTCTTCAACTTGGAGGTCAGGTGAGGTTCTCTGTTTTCATTCATCTCCTTTGACACTTTTCACAGGATCATGGAGCTTTACCAGAAAGGGACTTCACAACTGTCACAACATTTTAATCTCTCCAGGCCTGGGACAAGGTGGAAACCTACAGGTTCCCAAGGAGATAGTTTTCATCATTAGCACTTCAGCCAAAGCCTTAATGCTGCAAAAAGAAAGCATAATGTGGAGCAAGAGTTCCTGCTTCCGCCTATTCTGACTGTAGCTCTCCAGGGCTCTGATGAAGTCCATTGTGATCTAGCATTGAAAAAAAAAAGAACGTTCTCTCCTAAGCCTTGCTGCTATTCATACGGGCTCAAAGTGCATGGTTTAATACTTGTAGCTATGAATACTTGCATTTTTCCAAAGGCCTTACTGTACACATTTATTGGGAAAAATCTCTATTTTCTCCCAAGTGGGTTTGAGGTAAAAAGAATCCAGTAAATAGCTATGCATTTCATTAGTCTGGATGAGGGCATGGATTGCTATCGCTGTTTGCCCAAGTGAACGGCTGTTGTAAAGAAGCCCCTTCCAAAATGTTACCTGTGGGACTGCTTTCATGTCTTCATTAACAACAGACACTTGGCATTAGTGACTCAACCACTGTGTTAATTAGAACTCAGACTTGCAGCCCATCCTCAGCTCATAGAATAAACACTGTTTTCCTTTGACCTAATTACAAGATGTTCTTAAACATCATCATTTTGTAAAAGAAACCATGACTACAAATTGCTTTGTGAACCATGCTCGTTGTTGGGACTCAAAATGTGTCTGCAGTTTGGAGAAGGTGTTTGCAGTTTGCCAGCAAAACTGCAGTCCATTCGAAACGATGGTGTATACAGGCAATGGGAATAATCTTTTTGCAGATATTATACACTTCTCTCTACCTTCCCTTACCTTCCACATTACTTATTATTATTATTATTTAGATAGCCCCATCTAAAAAAAAGAAAAGGAAGAAATAAAAAAAAAGGTTGTCAGATCAGAATCCAAATATCCTCTTATTTTATCAACAGATTTTATTTGGTAGGTTCCCTACAGTTAGTTGCTGGCTTCGGTGACATTTCAGATTAGATTGTCATTTCTTCCCCTAAGCCCCAACAACAGCTTTCTATCGTCATGATTGATTAAAAAGCCCAGCAAACAAATAAGCAAATTGCTACACCACCACTATCAACCACGATAAAACTCAGAAACCAAAATATTTTCTTTAAGCCAAAGAGAGTTGATTAAATACCTCATAATGTACTGTGGGTCAGCTGTATTGGGCCACATTGGGTCATTATTGTAGAATTTTATTTGAGTATGAACCCTGAGGGACTGTAATGCCGAGAGCCTTACTCAGCCCTGATCTCCCCAAATACTCCAGTACCATAAGGAAAAATACCTAGAGCAAGCCTGTCCAGTCCCCGGCCTGCAGGCCACATGCAGACCAGGACAGCTTTGAATGCAGCCCAACACAAATTCGTCAACTTTCTTAAAACATTATGAAATTATTTATTTATTTGTTTATTTTTAGCTCATCAGCTATCATTAGTGTAGTGTTTTTTGTTTTGTTTTGTTTTTTGAGATGGAGTCTCGCTCTGTCACCCAGGCTGGAGTACAGTGGTGCGATCTCGGCTCATTGCTAGCTCTGCCTCCCGGGTTGACGCCATTCTCCTGCCTCAGCCTCCCGAGCAGCTGGGACTACAGTCGCCCGCCACCTCGCCCGGCTAATTTTTTGTATTTTTAGTAGAGACGGGGTTTCACCGTGTTAGCCAGGATGGTCTCGATCTCCTGACCTTGTGATCCACCTGTCTCAGCCTCCCAAAGTGCTGGGATTACGGGCGTGAGTGTAGTGTATTTTATTTGTAGCCCAAGACAATTCTTCCAATGCGGCCCAGGGAAGCCAAAGGATTGAACACCCTTGATCTAGAGTATGAAAGAAAAAAATACATTTCAAGTGACCTATGGGATGCTGCCAGGAACCCCTCGGAGATTTCTAGTGCTGAGGACTCTGTTCTTTTTTTTTTTTTTTTTTTTTTTGTCTTTGTCAGAAAATATATTTATTATTGATAGTGAGTGAAGTAAAGATGTGAGTATTCACTATAGAGGTTATATCAGCCAAGGTTGCCTTCATATTGATAAAAATACCGTATCTCACTTGTAATCATAAACATTATTCCAGTAGAAGAGGTACATTTTCTCTCCTTTTTGTCTTCTTGCCTGTATAATCACCATAATAAGTTAAAATGAAACAGCTCTTATATAATCAAAAGAGAAAAGAAAGAGAGAGAAAGCCAGCATGCCACATTCTAGACAATTCCACCCAGCACTGCGACCTCCAGATCTGTTTTCTGGCTCTCTCCACCTGGCACTGCTGTCCCCAGATCTATGTTTTCTGGCTCTCTCCTCACCTGACTCCAATTAATTTAGCCCCCCACCCCATTCTGCTTTGTTAGGGTGGAGGTTCACCGAATGATGGGGCTTGCTCAGAAGAGAAATATTTTATGGTCAGTGGAAGTTGAATAGAAAGTACCAAATAGTGGAGAGGACTGCCCTTCTCTTTTAATCATCATAAGAGGGTTTACTCATACTGAAGTGCGTCCTTTAATGACTGATCCCTGATCAAGGCTTTGGCCCTTCAAATTGCTGCTGTTCAAAATGTGAAATGATTCTGCTGAGTCCATTCTTGTTGTCTGTCTTTAGTGGTCTTCTCATTAGTGGTCTTCTCTTCAAATGGGTTATTTTCTTACTAGGAAAAAAAAAAAATGTTCCATCTCTGGAATTAACGTTGATGGTGTTTTGCTCGTTCTGAAAGTTTTTATCCTCCCTTCTCAAGCATGCTCTGTTTGGCATGATTGACACAGTGCATATACTGGGTGGCCAGAGAGGAGCATTTGAGGGTCTGGTGGGTGTTCTCACGGTAACACTGAAGAATCATGCTCTGTTTGGCATGATTGACACAGTGCATATACTGGATGGCCAGAGAGGAGCATTTGAGGGTCTGGTGGGTGTTCTCACGGTAACCTGCAGATCAGCACAGACTGGATGAGACTCATACCGCTTGAACTTTGCTTCTACCTCTTCAGCAGCTTTCTGATATTGTTCAGTGGTGACTTTGTAGAATTCTGAGCTCCTCTGCTCCAGTCTAGCCAGCTGTTTTTCGTAGAATGCATCCTGCTTCTTTAGCACTCGGTCTTTCTCTTCCAGCTGCCTAGCCAGGTGCTTTGCCTTAGCGCCTTCCTCCTCGTTTGATATCCTCTCCCGAAGGATGGCTCTGGTTAACTGCCCATTGGCAGCAGCCCTCTCTCGGTCCAGCTCTTTGGCTTGCTTTAGTCGTTTCTGATCTTTGGATTCTTTCTTGGCTTGCTCCAATGCCCACTCCTCAGCTACTCTTCTTTTCAATTCTTCATCAGAAACTGAGGCACCATAAGCACCAGAATACCGCTGAGACTTCGAATCAGATGGAGAGGATTCCTTCATTCGATCAATCACATTTTCCGAAAGCCAGATGCCCTTCACCACGGTGATGTTCTCATTCTCGTCCGCCTCGAAGGCGACCCGGCAGGTGCTGGTGGTCCCACCCATGGCTCCGGTTCCTGCCCCAGCGGAGACCTAGCGCGGAACCACGAGCACTTCGGGGCCCTCGCGCCCACACGCGCGTGTAAGGACCTGGATTCTTTTCCCACACAGCGGGAGCAAGGCCAAGACCCCAGAAGCAAGGAGAAGGCGCCGATTGAGGACTCTGTTCTTAAACACACAAACCTCCTTCTGGGGAGGTGTTCTTGCTGAATATAACTACAGACCCTTGAGCAAAGGACTCCCTTATAGAAAACAGTGGCGAAAAGCTGAAATAATAACTGGATAATATACAGGTTATTATACAGACTGGCATTCCAATACCACCCTGGAGAGCGTTCACTTAGTAGTTCCAAAGACAATCTTTAAAAGTGTTCTGCCACAGGACCACCGCTAGAGGGCAGGGCAGACCACTTCTGTTTTCAGACGCTTTCTCCCGGGAGGAAATTGAAAGTTACCGTGAAGGATAGGCTGAATGCTGAACAGACAGACCTTCACACTTAAAAGCAACCCCACCCCTGCACTTCACTCTTCCACAGTTTAGGTGCAGAGCAGTGAGTGGGCAGGCAAGCACTACGTCAATTGCATTGAAACAGGATTTCACTGGAAGAAAACACTCTTCCAATGAAATCTGAAGTTTCATAACTTTGATAACTTTCATTTACTAAAATATTCCAGCCCTTTCTATGTGCCAGAGACTATGCTGAGCACTGGGGATATAAACACAAGTATTTCTTTGTTATTTTCCTCTATAGGTTTACGGTGTAGGTGGGCAGACAGACAAGTTAATTAATCAAGAGATGGTAATGTCCCAAATGCAATATGAGCTCAAAGGAGGGGAACTGGGATTTCAGGTGGGGTGAGCAGATGGGATGGCTGAGAGTGTTGGAGGCTCAAAGACCAAATCAGAAGTCACTGGGTGAAGGAGAGAGACAAGAAAAAGAGGGAATCTTTTTTTTATGAGAAAGTTTTCAGCATAATAATATATAACCGAGAAAATTAATATCCAAATGCAAAATAAAAGAAAAAAAAAAGCCAATAGCTAGCACTAAAAACTGTTATATTTTAACCATAAACTTCTAGTTGTCAGAAGATTTGGGGTAAAGACAACTTAGAAAGAAAACAGCATAACCACGTTGACCTGAAATGAACCCATCTGAATATCATTCCTATTGTGTAAGCAGTTACACCAGGGAATGCCATGGACCAGACTGGGTAGTCCTCTAGGAATGATGAGGGCTGATGGCTGCTATGTGAGGGTGGTGTCCTCACAGCAATTATGTTGGAATGTCCCCATTCCTCTGACACACCACCAAATGTACCTGGAATGATGAACGCTACTGTGGTTCTCAATCCATGCCACATATTCACATCAATCAGGGAACTTTCAGATGTCCAGCTCTCTCTCTACCTCCCTGTTCTGATTCAATGTTTGAAAACTCTCTAGGTTATTTTACTGTGCAGTCAGGGTTGAGGCCTACTGAGTTATACACTGGTGATATTTCACAGGGGAAACCTAAGATGCCAGCTAGGGACGTGGGCAACATCATTTTCTTTTATAGGAAATAATTGAAATAATTGAACCAAGGAAATAATTGAACCAAGGAAATAATTGAAACTTCTACTTTAATACTATGTAACTTTTTTTTTTTTTTTTTTTTTTGAGATTACAGTCTACACCTCAGTTTTGTTTGTTTGTTTTGAGATGGAATCTTGCTTTGTCGCTCAGACTGGAGTGTGTTGGTGTCATCTTGGCTTAACGCAACCTCTACCTCCTGGGTTCAAATGATTCTCCCACCTCAGCCTCCTGAGTAGCTAGGCTTGCAGGCCTGTGCCACCAAGGCTAACTTTTGCATTTTTTAGTAGAGACAGGGTTTCACCATGTTATCCAGGCTGGTCTTGAACTCCTGACCTCAAGTGATCCACCCGCCTTGGCCTCCCAAAGTGTTGAGATTACAGGTGTGAGCCACTGCCCCGCCCTTATGTAATTTTTTAACTTGCAATTCAACACCTGAAATAGTTCGCAGGTAAAATATGTTATCACAAAGAAAACAATATGAAAATAGAAATGAGTATATAGAGGGTAGACAATGTTGCAAGATGTTCATTTTTACCTTTTTCATTAGTCACTTTGTAATTTGTAAAGGGTCTCCCTCAGATAGGTATTGGAAAGCGCCTCCCTTTGGTCTCTCCCTTCAGAATCCTCTGGGTGCCTTTCTGCCCTTCCTTGAGAGTCCCAGCCTCATCACTGAGTAACAGAGATAGATTTACCGGCTCCGGAGGCTCCCTCTTGGCTTCATCCTGGACTCTGGATGGCATCCTCTGCTGTGCTTTCTTATGAAGGACGTGTGCTGACGGTTAGCAGTTTGGAATTCTTCATCTTAGAGCATCTACGAGGGCCGGGCACTGTGACTCACGCCTGTAATCCCAGCACTTTGGGAGAACGAGGCGGGCAGATCACCTGAGGCCAGGAGTTCGAGACCAGTCTGGTCAACATGGTGAAACCCAGTCTCTATTAAAGTAAATACAAAAATTAGCTGAGCATGGTGCTGCATGCCTGTAGTCTCAGTTACTCGGGAGGCTGAGGCAGGAGAACTGCTTGAACCCGGGAGGCAGAGGTTGCAGTGAGCCGAGATCGCGCGCCACTCCAGTCCAGTCTGGGCGACAGAGCGAGACTCCGTCAAAAAAAAAAGCATCCACAAGACTGACAACCCTTACTGCTGGTACCACTCACCTCCAATTATTATGCTGACATATTACTTAATTTTGTCATGTTACTTTGTCTTTCCAAATAGCTCCTCTCCGTCAGGAGAGAGTGCGATGGGAGGGTGGAGAAAGATGTAAGAGGAGGTGGGGGTGGGGGTGGTGAATCTGGCCCAGCCAAATCTTTTTTTCAGCTCGCCAGGGCTGCTGAATGGGAGGCTAACGTCAAAGGGTCTGCATTCCGAAAGAGTTGCTCCTAAGTGGTGTACGGTATACAGCAAGATTTTCTGTATTTCGGGGGCACTTTGACTCAAACTAGAGTTCAGGAAAGCCGCTAACCATTCAAGTTGATCCTCTTCTGGTCAAGAGGCTGCAGCGAGGGAGAACCCTGGCAAGAAACAGGAAACTAGAGGCCCAGAAATGGTGAGGGCTGGAGGATTCAATACTGGCAGCCCCTTGCTGCCGGAAGGCGGGGGATCCACTGCTCTGACACACTTGTGCCGCTAGAGGACAGCGCAGGGCAGAGCAGCAGCTCAAGTGCACCCTTTAGGGAGCGCAGGATTTCAGCAGCTTGAGGAGTCACAGGGAAGCCGTTCATAAAACAAGCATAGAATAAATTATCCAGCAAGGAAGGTTGCTTTGAAATATGACCAGGAAAAGGGTAGACACTAAAGGTAACAATTGCTTTAATAACTTTGAGTAATGAGACTTTTGTTTTTGTTTTTGTTTTTTTACGGAGTCTCGCTCTGTCTCCCAGGCTGGAGTGCAGTGGCACGATCTTGGCTCACTGCAACCTCCACCTCCCGGGTCCAAGCGATTCTTGATCCTCCTGCCTCAGCCTTTCGTGTAGCTGAGACCATAGGTCTGCATCACCTCGCCCGGCTAATTTAATTTTTGTATTTTTAGTAGAAACAGGGTTTCACCATGTTAGCCAGGCTGGTCTTGAACTCTTGACCTCAAGTGATCCGCCCGCCTCAGCCTCCTAAAGTGTTGGGATTACAGGCGTGAGCCACCGCGCCCGGCTGAGTAATGAGACTTTTCTGCAGTGAACATGGAAATAGGCTGCTTCAGAGGTAAGGAGAGAAGGGAGTTTTGAGATTATTTGAAACGGTGATTTATCTCAGTACAGACAAGGCACATGTCCACTTTAGGGATATAAAATGAGCTAATCAGGGGCTACAGTGGCCTTCCTAAGTCTCATGAAACACTTCCAAAAACTTTCCATGCTTTCCCTAATTTGTGCAGCAAACAATAAGAGACACTTAGGGACAGGGATTTGATTCACGTGAGAACTAGCCCAAGAAACCAACTACACGTGGACCACACAGACAGCATCTCCAAGAGTGACAGACAGCACTCAACCTCCATCGTTTCATTTTGATGGAAACAGAGTGAGTTTAAGGAAGGCTTTTGGTGAGCACATGTTTTATATTTCTATTTCATAATGCTGGTATTTCTATCAGTCTTTGTGGAATATTTCTCCCCTAAATGCAGAGAATCAAAAGCAAGAAAAGTGGATTCTAACTCTCAAAGAGTTTCCAGAGCTCTGAAGAAGCTGGCAAGTGATTCAGTCAGGTTCCTAACAGGAAGCAGATGGCATGCCCAAGTTAGGATCTTTCCGGGATGGTTTATTTACCAATGCATGGGCAAGGTGCAAGGGATGCTCATGAGAGGGTGCAGAAAGTAGTTTAGAGCTTTAGCGGCAGAGCTGTTACTACACCTGAATCTGAGGAAGGGGAGGGAGTACTCATGGGGTTTCTGAAGAGAGAGTCATGGAGCGAAGGCCAACTTGTAAGGACAGTGATCTTAGGTTGCAGCCAGCCCCAGGTGACCACATGGCCCTCCCCTCCCCTCCCCTTCCCCTCCCCTCCCCTCCCCTTCCCCTCCCCTTCTCCTCCCCTCCCCTCCCCTTCTCCTCCCCTCCCCTCCCCTCCTGTCCCCTCCACTTCCCCTCCCTTTCCCCGTCCCTCCCCTTCCCCTCCCCTTCCCTCCCTTTCCCCTTCCCTCCTCTTCCCATCCCCTCCCCTCCCCTCCCCTCCCCTCCCCTCCCCTGCCCTTCCCCTGCCCTTGCCCCTTCCCTTTCCCCTTCCCCTTCCCTTCCTTTCCCTTCCCTTCTTTTGTCTCCTTTTCCCAGAGGACAAGAGAGTTGGTTGATACAATCCTTTCAGGTCACACTTCCAGGGGAGACATCAAAATGGACATAATCCCACTTACCTGAAATAAAACATGAATGTCACTGCTACTATTTGTGCAGAGGTCCACCCAGCAATACTGCAGGCCCGTCTGGGCAGCGTTCAAAGAAAGACAAGGGCTAATGGCTGGCGTGTAGGAATCAGTTCCTCAGAGCAATCATGGTAATAAAATGAAGTTGACCACGGTCTAAATGCAGTTCTTTGTAAATATGTGTTTTCTCTGGCTGCTTTTAAGAGCTTCTTCTTATCTTTGAT